AGACATAACAAGGTGGTTAAAGAGAGAGAGAGAGAGAGGAGAGAGAGAGTCAGAGAGAGAGAGAGAGAGAGAGAGAGAGAGAGAGAGAGAGAGAGAGAGAGAGAGAGAGAGAGAGAGAGAGAGAGAGAGAGAGAGAGAGAGAGAGAGAGAGAGAGAGAGAGAGAGAGGACAGAGACAGAGACGGGGGACCATAACACGTGTCACGCAAGACAGGTGACAACAAACACGTGTACCAACAATGTCAGCGTAGCGTGAGAGAAACACCTGACTTACCATCTGGCACTGCGGTGTCCGGGTGTGCAGAGTCAAGCAGCTAACTCAGAGGCTGGCGGGAGTAAGCGGAAAAGCACTACGGGCTCACCATAACCCGTGCCACTTGAAACTTTTTATTCCCAGTACCTGAATCTAAAAACAACAACAGGACGACTTAAACTGCACAGAGAAATGGCTACTGGAGTTCAACTCCAGCAAGTAAATATCAAAAGAAGGCACCAAACCGGGAAGGATATGTAGCACCATCAAATGTGCGGAATAATCAGAGGGCGCTAAATATCACCAAGGATGCCAATACGAGAACAAAAACGCATAAGGCGAACGATATCAAAAGTATCCGAGTCACCAAGAATTCTATTGAGGGACAGGTGACCGCGAGGGACGTCAATTCCAGCAAGGTGATGAAACAGGGAACGGGTGTCAGGAGACCAAAAGGATCTTGGAGTGGACTTTCTAAAGAAACACAAATTCGAAAAAAGTTCAGAAGTTTGCAACAGGGTCGTCCCAGAAATGTGAGGGATGGGGTATGAAGAGACAAAGAACTAAATCTGACGACGTTATTAATGAGAGAGAAGAGTGGACCATGATTGAGACGTAAAATGAATTGAACTACTTAAAGCGTTGTGGAAGCAAAATCTTCATAATTTCTGAAGTAGATATGATGGGGAAATAGGACAGGAGTCATTGCCTTAACCGACGGCTAGAAAGGCGATATCCAAGAGCCAATGATCGATCCTGCAGACACAAATAGGTGAGTACACGCACGTGCACATACATCCCAAACACACGCCCTGGTACACACCTACACCCTAGTACACACACGCAGAGGCCTTGTACCACGCCTACAGCCCCCCAAAACAGAAGACCTTGCCCTACGCCCACACTGAGGCAAGTAGGGAGAGGAGGCCAGATCCAAAACTCCTGCCCACGCTGGGTGGGGCTCCCCTCTCACCTCACTGTGAGGACACAACACCGTTCCTGCTTTGCTTCTCACTCATTGTCAACCTTAATCCTAATCTGCCTCTCATTGTTCCCTCACTTGCGCTAACGTTTTCCTAACTTCATATGTAGCTTAAACCCAAACTAACACAAATGTTCAGAATAAGACAAATAGACTACTGGGATTATTTCTAGAAGCGTTAGCACCAAGACAATTTTCCCCTCAGCCTTAACAACAACAAGTCGTCGTCACACAATCGACTCGATAATGGTTCAGGACGGACCGAAACGTCGTCGTCACTTCACTTTCTAATGTGTGGTCTGGTCAACATTTTTCAGCCACGTTATTGTGACTCATCTGCAATCAAGGTTTCCTACTTATGTTACGCGGTAATTAGTTCTACAAATCGACAACCCTGTTATGAACCAGTATTTACTTAAAGTCTTTCCTGAACCTAAACTTATCCAATTTATATCTCTTGCTTCATGTACTATAACCATTTTGTGTTCTTTGTTCCTCCAGAACGGAGGAAAGGAATGCTGCGCAACCACCTAGACGGTCGGGGATCGAACGCCAACCTACAAGAAGGTAGACCATCGCTCTACCGTCCAGTCCAAGTGGTTAGAAAGTTGATCAGAGGAATCAAACTTTTCACACACCACAGGGGTTTGGTAGCCGAGTGAACAGCGCGCGGGGGACTATCCTTTGGCTTGCGTTAGATTTCCGGCGCCGGCAGAGACAAATGGGCAGTTTCTTTCACCCTGATGCCCAGTTACCTAGCAGTACGTAGGTAACCTATTTGTGCTACATAACAGTGAAATCAGGGTGAAAAATACTGCCTATTTGTTCCCCACGACCGTAAGAGGGTCAATGTAGTTTGGATAAGCAACAGCACGGCGGCACTTTATGAAATACCCGTCAGTTAAACGGGTTTTGTCAATACGTAACCTCGCCAGAGCAGTTTCCCATCGCTGGTTATGGAGGAAGGCCAAGGGGACATGCTACCCTTAAGAGCACGCAGCTTGTTACCATTAACAATACCTGTGATCCTGCCAATGGACATCTTTGCGAAAAATTGGGAAAAGTGCAGACAGCCTTCTTCGCGTGCTCTTAAAGAGTAGTGTCCCCCCGTGGCCTTCCTCCTACTATAACCGGCAGTGGGAAACGGCTCTGGCAAGGTTGAATATTGACCATACGCGCTCAACTCACGGACATTTAATTGAGCGCCGCCCTGCTCCTTTTTGTTCAAACTGCATCGTCCCTCAGTCGTACATATCCTTGTTGAATGTCCTGACTTCCAGGACGAGCGTATCGCTTCCCGACCGTCACTTTTACCCTCTATGGAATTCTTGGTGAATCTGATACTTTTGATAACTTTCGCCTTGTGCGTTTTTCATATTGGCATATTTAGTGATTTAGCACCCTATGATTATTCCACATTTGATGGCACTACGTAGCCTCACCGGCTTTGTACCTTTTGATAATTACTACTTCGCGGCAGTACCCGCACGTTCACCAATGACAGGGAACCCAGCAAAACTTAAATCTGCTAGAGATAAGAGAAAACCAATATTGAATTTACGACGACCATAGGATAGACAGGATTAAAGAACTCCAGAGCCAAGAGGGCACCGCAAGAGTCTACTACAAGAAAGATCGAGAGCGAGAAAGCAGTTGAAGAGCATACAAAATTGCATAAAGTTCTGCCGGAAAGATGCTAGTCTCCAAGGTCAGGCGACATAGGTGTGGTCAGGAAATATAACGGTATTCTACACCGTCGGCAGACTTTGACCCATCTGTGAAGATGGCAATGAATGGTAAAAGCTTTTGCTATGTGGATCAACGTTTTGCAAACTTAGGAAGAGAACAGGAGTTCAACGGTAAAATCACAACAGAGTGAGGCTCGGGTAGAGGACGAACGGAAGGATCTGGTAAGGAGTTCAACAGGTATTTAAGATCGCGAAGCAAAATAAGGACATTTGAGAAATGGAACAGGCCATTTACTTGCACAGACACAGGCAACAGAGGACTTTGTGTGACTGAAAAAGTAGAGGGACTGAATATCATTATGGGTCAAGAGATCAATACCTACTTACCTTGCGAGTAGAGTTAATATCCCCAGCAAATGCTGAAGGGGAAGAACAACCTGCAGAAGCAACCAGGAAGTGCCAAGCATCGGCTCCTGGAAACAAAGCGGCGAAAACGGATCAGAAGTTCATGGAAGTTAGCAAAGCCATGAATATTCAATTTAATTGAGCAATTATCAAAGGCACCACCAAGCCGGGAAGGCTATATATTCAATTGACGAATAGTCAACAAATAGAACAAAATCTTAGTTCAGAGGTGAACACGGGATACTAGGGAGGATTTGGCTCTGGTTCATTGAAATCGGTAAATCAGATTCAATCGAGGGGACAGGAGGGGGAACAGCTAGATTCGGGCGTGGTAGAAGGCTTCGGAGATGGATGGTTAAGGGAATGGGAAAGAGTGCAGTGCATTTGATCAAAAACGGTCAGGGAGAACCAAAGGCCACAGGAAAACCTCTAGCAGGGTCCGTCTACTCGTCACCGATGGAAGAGGCAGGGAAAATCCCCCTGGAAAACAGGTGATCAACCGACGACGTTTATCAGCTGAGGAAGAGAGAGGAGCCAGGTTTGTGCATCTGATCGAGATGCATGCGTGTCAGCAGCAATGTACTGTGCAACAGCCTCCGGAAAGGAAGAACGAGAGCTGACGACCAGGAGGATGGACATCGACCGGGAGTCGTGGAGGGCCAAATACAGGAGAGACTGTTGGAAAGGCCACAGGGGACAAGAGGAAGGACGTATAAACTGATTAGCAGGAGACTGGGAGGGGTGAAAACACCAGGCAGTGAAATGAAGATTCTGGGTCTCTGTATGGCGCAGAGTTTCCCCAGTACGAGAGGGGGAGAAGGTGTTTAAAGTAGCTGTCAAGAGAAGGAGCCACCCTAGGCAGCAAGGAGGTAGCCTCTGGGAAGGCGGCTTAGGGCCCTAGAACGCAAGTGGGAGGGTCGGGAGTCAACAAAGGAGCCAGGTCTGGGCCTAACGTAGCCTGGGATACAGAGCCTGATCTTTTGTCTACAAGAGCCTCCGGGGGAGACTCCACATAAATACAGCATTTTTTCAGGACTGGTTGTGAGCAAAGGGATACCACCTACCTAGACCGAGCGCTGGCCAATGCAGGAAGGGGTGCGTCGTCCCTAGCTGTGCTTCCCCTTTTTAACGAATCCTACCTCGTCTATTCTACACAGATGGGAAAATCTCTCCCACTCCAGCCTACACACCCAACCATCCAAGGGCAGCCCTTTTAGCAGATCTACTGACCTGAATAAGATCTCCACGGGTGTGCACCTTAGCAAGAGAAGGGGCAAAGCAACTCTCACCGGCCCCCAGGAATTCACACACGAGCCATCACAAGTTGATATTTTTGAAGGGGGGAAGAAAGAAAGTAGCACAAGCTGTAATTTTTAGTTTATAGTGTTAAGTTTCGACAGCAAGTCTTAGTCTCAACTTACCTGCATTCAAGACCATGGTGGTTTGTTCATCCGGAAACTGTTGATGGGGTTTGGCTCGGCAACATTAGTGCCATTACTGATAATGGGTATCAGTCTTTCAAATCCACTTTCCCGTTCAATGGTCTAGTCTGTTGGATGCATGTCGTGTAGCTACACTAGAAGTTCATTTTTGCTGCACACTGCCTGCATGCCTCTTACACTACTTACCTTGACATTTAATAAACAATCATAGGGGACAACAAAACAAACTTGTATATGAAACGTTTATTACGTTGATTTAGGAAAGCAATTTTGACAAAGGGGCGAGAATTTTTCAAAGTTAAATTTTGACCTAAACTACCACCAAAACATTATTACGCTCTTATACATTTCACATTTGGCAGTCGATTTCAAGCGCTGATTGGTGAATCGTTAAATTTATACCAATATCTTTCATGGGGAGGCCGTTCATACTATTAATGCAGATTACAATGAAAATGAAAATTCTAATACCATTCTTTTGAATATCGCCTGCTAGGCAAACTACACGTCCACCTAGAAGATAGGCAGAGCACCCTGCAAAGTACTCTTGATAAATCAGTGTGAACATAAGTACAAACCCAGAGAAATAAAGCTCCTCAGTTGACTGGTCTTCAAATAAGCAGATGAGAACACTCGGCGTCAGGAGAGTTGGGACATTTTACATTTGAGTGACAACGTTGAATGGTGTTAAATCTCCCCTTCTACTGACAATGGTGGTGGTACTGCCAGTAAGTTTCCTCATCGGGTCATTAAAGGTAAAGGCCAAATATAAAAATCCCGCCCAACTGTGAAGATGGTACCATTAATCAAATTGCTTCCCATTCCCGCTAGATATCTCGCCTGACGGCCGATCATTCTCAACAGCGCCAGAGAATTTGTATAATCAAATGTTTCCATCATTACTCCATGCTTATATCCAACAATGTCAATATCTACCGCATTTATTATTGATCTTGTAGACACCAACTGGCCACGACAACAGAAAATCAGCTCAATTTTGAAGGGGTCACATCTAATAAACCAATAAGTAATACATTATTAATCTTAAACGTACAGTGAATTCATGAGTTGTAACACTTGATATGGCATTTTAAAATGTTAACACCTCGAAAGCTACAAAAATTTAGTTTCGTGTTGCCAAAGAATCTAATTATGGTATACTTTCTTGGCTACAACAACATGATTCACTGGTTAATACAGTAACAATCTCTTCATACTTGTTGGTTTTGTCCGCTGACTGTCAGTACGCAACGTTACATACAAAGAGGTGGGACCGAGGGAGCCCGACCCCATGGGAAGTACAAAATGCTAAGTGGTTCATTTAGCAGTAATAGTAATGCAGTCTGGCTGGCCGCCCCACTGAGAAACGACCAGCCGACCCAAGCGCTGTTTTCACACTATCAAACTCTCTCCATGCTGGTCCAGAGAGCTCCAGTTAGTCCCATAGTCTATATTCACTTTACAGTCTCTCAAGATGGCAGGCAAGAGCTGCAACACTCGCCGGGTAGCCTGTGCACAATTGTTAACCTAACAGCTGGGACTGCTCCTCAATGGTGAGTCACAAATGCACTGGGAAAGAAATGAAGACTTCTCGATACATTAACAAGCTCGAGGAAGTCTTACAGGCAGCAGAGGGGCCGAGGGGCGACCGTTGTGATGATGTTGCGGCCATGAGTATCGAGGTGATGAGCGTAGCGTCACTGAGGAGCGCCCAGCCGCAGCCTCGACTACTGGTAGCCACGCTGGCGGTGTGAAAAGTGAGGTGAGGAATGGTCGACCCTTAGGCATCATGACTTGAAGGTTGTAGTATGGAGGGTCGAGTGAAGCATGCTATTAAGGGTTGCATTTATCAGTTTTGGTCGCCCCCTTCATTAGCATCTTCTCCCTCGCCCTGCGTGTCGCTCGTCCAAAGCGTCAGGTTATCTCGCAAAAGCTGCATAATGAGCGTAGAATCCTTATATGAATCTTCATTTAGCGTATCTAACTCTGCGATTGCATCGTCAAATGCCTGTAACAAAAACATTAAAGGCTGAGTAAAATAAACATTAAATAATTGTACAAAAATATTGCAAGATTTGTTAGAAAAACTTTAAAAAAAACATTAAAACTATTGCTAAGGTTTATGTATCTAGGCATATTTACTCCCATAAAGCAGGAAAACATGCAAACTTAATCACTGTTCATATATTACGAAGGAATTTTTATGTCTAGATTAGTTCGATAGCACACAACAGTAATTTATGTTTAATGACGAAAATGTGCTTTGTAATGCAATAACGAGACGCAGGTATCGCAGGAGCACCCGAAGTTAATAACTGTAGTTGGGTAATCGCAAGAGTCCGGGGTATAGGGAGCAACAGGTTCCCCAGAAATGTCATCCGCCATGCAGGACACCTATTGTGCGTCACTGCACTCTCGTGACCCTGTGTGCTTCAGAGGGTATGTGGAGAGAAAATATATGCTTGCCAAGGAATATTTTGACAACCCACATACTCCCATTTCAGAAGCTTGTTGACCCAAAAGGCTACTGAACTCCACACTAAACTACACTATCATTCAAATGTTAGTTTTAACACAGGGTAAGGGTTAAATTAAATCTAATATCAGTGATCTACCCAGCTAATATAGCTGATCCCATGACACACGGGGTCATGCAGAAGGGTCAAGGGGTCAAGTTAAAGTGTCACGCGAGTCACAGCAGCCGCTCATTGGTTCAGGTCTCGTTACCTGCTTGGCTAAGTGACACGCTCTGTCAGGGGAGTTCAGGATCTCGTAGTAGAAAACGGAGAAGTTGAGGGCCAGGCCTAGCCTTATGGGATGAGTAGGCTGCATCTTAGACTTGGCGATGTCGAAGGCCTCTTGGTATGACTTCTGGGAGTCGTCAACCACAACTTGAATAACAAACAAGGGAGGGTAAAATAAATAATGAAACTAAAGATAATTAGGGATCTGCACGCAAGTGAGTTGCCCATCACTCTGCATTATTACATGTTGCTCCCCGTCACCACCGGTCCCCTGCAAGGCGAGATTGTAGTACCTGTTTAGCTAGCTGGCATGCCTTATCAGGCGAGTTGAGGATCTCATAGAAGAAAACTGAAAAGTTCAATGCCAAACCCAGCCTGATAGGGTGGGTGGGCTGCATCTCTGCCTTGGCGATATCGAAAGCCTCCTGGTAGGATTTCTGAGAGTCGTCCACAACACCTGAATGAAGAAATCAGTTTTATTAAAGCATTTATAAAACCGTATGCACTTAGTGGAAATGTACTATTAAAACTTTGTCCAGCTTTATTTACCCAAAATGGATGTTGAAAATTCCATTCACCATGTCAATTACATTTGTTCATTAAAAATATAACTGCTTTTCAAAGTGGCTATTTTGCACTTCTAGCCATGCCTCCCAGTCTGATTTCCATGCATAGATAAGAACCAGTAACTATCCAATTAAATTTCCATATCTTTAATACACTAAAAGTCTAGATTTAGTGCTCTGTGCTTAATTTTGGTGAAAATCAACAGCTTCTCAATTTAGATGTTTTACTGAAAGTACTTGGGTAGCAAATGCTCTCCAGTATTTCTAGGTCGGCAAGTTCAATAGGAGTGACCATGACACGCAAGGGGTGGAGGGAGATTTCCAACAAATTATGGTAGAGGCAATGGCTAGCTGGTAGTTGTGCAAATTAAGATGCAGTTTAAAACATTGAACACAGCCCTATAAAATACTACCACCTTTCACACGGTGAGGATTAGTTTGTTCAGCTGAAGGACTCAAATGCCTCTAGTAACTATGAACACTAATGCAACAATAAACCATCATAATTGCATTTACAAAGTACTAATATCATTGGCGAGGAAGGTGTGTAGGAGGGAGACGGTTGAGGGGATGGAGCTTGGCTGTGATGAGTTGGCACAATGCCAGTGAGTCATCATGCAGCTGCAACCACTCTCCTTCATACAATGCAGGGGGGGGGGGGATCTATCTAAAGAGATTTTCATACAAGGTGAAAAGCTTAATTTATGACCACCTTTGTGGTGGGATACATCTAGGATAATAAGGAAGGACACTTCCAAACAAACCCACTTTTACCAAACATGGGAAAGCATATTGTCAGGCAAAGCAAGTTACGTAGATTTCAGAATTCCAGTTCTCTGGATAATTTGGACCATTCAGAATAGCCAAGGAAACAGGTTAGAACACTTTAACCTAGAAAAAGCCAGAAGAATGTACAACTAAATAGGGACAAGAAGGGGGCAGAGGTAAGACTGCAGTCCCTCCTAATCACTAAATAGCATTTCTTACAATAAACTTTAAATTTAACCTTTATTTTGAGATTTAGGCAAAGGCCATGTACGAGTTTGATTACTTTGTGCCAACATTTTCCACAAACCCACTAATTTCTAAAAGGCCCTTATCCAGGTAATATGGCGAACCATCTCCAGATGCAAAACTTGACATTAACACCTATATGCATTTAATAAAACTTTGCTCCGTTTCAAGCTTGCAGTTGCCAACATTGTCAAGCTTTGCCACATTCAAGAAGTCACCCAATGCACCAACTAAGTGGCAACTTTCACAATAGAATCTAACATGAACTCTTCAAAGGCACGTTCCAATAGTTATCACTTGCTTAGGCCAACATTGTTGAACCTTAATACAGCATGTATAAACAAATGCCAAATTATATACTTGCAACTAAAGGTGTAGTTATATAATTCCAGCACATACTTTATACAACTTCACAGGTGGAAACTAGTAACAATACAATTAAGAAACTGACATGACTGGCATTTATCAAAATGTCTATACACCTCTACTTACCAATCACATTGCAGAGAAGTAATAACACACCCCCATCACTTTTACACTAGTGCAAGCCTGATCCCAGGTTTGACCAACTAGAACTATCAGAACCAGTTCCTTGTTATCATGGTGTTTAAAATGGCTACCTAACTACACCAATTCTCTACTCTGGCTAGACAGGTGCAGAAAAGATTTCACTGTCTGGATATTACAACCCTAAAGTTTAACGATCACCAAACCATGGTAATAGTAAACCGAGTTTTGAACCTAGGAATTTGTTAAATGACTAAGGAAAATGCAGCAAGAACCATGTGTACTTACCCGCTCGAACATCACCAGTGGCCACCTCGGCCAGATACCTGTAGTAATCTCCCTTCATTTTTAGGTAAAATACCTTAGACTCTGGATTCGAGGCCTTGGGAATAAGGAACTTGTCAAGAAGACCCTGTATGAATAAAAAATATAAGTTATAACTACCTTAATACCTATAACTACAAGTAAATCCTACTTAAACTTTACTACCTTAACTTTAAAAGCAAGTTTACTCTAGCACCGATGAACACCGATGCATTTAAAGTCAAATCGGGACATTATTAGCTCCACCGTACAATACCAACAGAGATCCCATGGGTGGTACATAGTCTTCCAGCTACAGGTAAACTGCGAGAAAGGAAGACCACCACAACTAGACTATTTACATAGATCATAAAAAGCACTCGATACTGCTCCCCACGAAGATTATTGTACAAGATTGAGAAGCGGGTCGTGATACCTAGGGAGAAAAAATGGGCAGACACAGGTGTTAAGGTGTGGTTTCAAGCTGGAGGAATTTAGCAAGGAGTGTCCCACCAAGCTGTCCTGGGACTGCATGTTCTTAATTGATATGAACAACATGTGAGCAAGTGTGCTTTGACATGTCAATGTTTGTCAAGCTGATGAGGAATGTGAACACAAATTGCAAGTTATAGCAGGATCGAGGCAAACTTCAAGGGTGGTCAAATGGTTGCTGGAATTCAATCCCAACAAGTTTTAGGTGGAATAGGGGAATATGTAAGGTAGACAATGATAGCCTCTTCAAATTTACAGAAATTAGGACATGATGGGAAGAAGCTGGAAACATTAGCCAAAAGAATGCAAGGAATTTCCAAAAGTGTGTATGGGTAGTCTAGAGGAATACACCAATAGTGTTTTCTTGGCTCTGAGGTCAAAGCAATTTGGTGGCACATCTTTGCACCTCATTTGCTTTTCCAGACATGAACAACTGCTGCATACTGTCGAATAATTTCCTTACAGAAAACTCAATTTTTATGGTTTTAAGTCAGTTGATATGTACCCTATACTACACAAGCATTTTGACCATAAGGTACCTACCAGTCCAACCAACCTCCTCAAACCTTGAAATCAAAACTTCATACCTAATTTCAACATTAATAAAATCCACAAGTGTACTTACCAATACATCCTGGCATATTTCTCTAAGTTCTGTTTCAACCTGTAGAAGAAAAATTTGTTTTAAGAGTAAGCAAACATTTAAATCTCCAATACTGTATATGCATGAAAACCACTATGACAAGAGCTTAAACAAGCTGCTTACCTTCTCTCTGTATTCCTTTGCCATTTGTTGTTTTCGTTCTGAACCCTCTGTTTTCTGTTCTATGGAGGAAATAACTCTCCAGGAACTTCTCCGAGCTCCTACAACATTCTTGTACGCTACTGACAAAAGATTTCGCTCCTCATTTGAGAGCTCCACCCCTGGAAATAAAGATGAAATACATGACCACCAAATGAATGAGCCAAAGATATCTCCAACTATCTACTCCACAAATCAACTTATACACACCAGCCCGATATAGCTCCGGGAGCCTCCGGGTCTCACCCAGAAAATGGTGTTTAATTATATTCAATGCTTTTTTTTTTTCCTGGGTCTTGGTTAACTCATTACATTTATATAGCTGTATGGTTTGGTTATCTTTCTGGTCCATTAAATGTTAAATGCAAGTTTCTTGACCAACAAGCAATAATGCAGCTGCAGCTTCCAACTTTGAAAAAGTAACCAATACCCAGGCATGCTTTGGTAAATTACACTTAATAAATTTCCATGAATGCAAAATATAGTACTTCAATTAATAAAATTAATTTTGTAGTTTTCACTAGTGTAGTAGTGCACCCATCTTCAGTATTTTGGAGGGGGGGGGGGCTGCATTCCATTGTGACCAGACCCTCCCGATTGAAAACTATGCTAAATGCAGCACGTGTCAGGAACTAGCCTAATTAATGAAGTACCCTCTTAAAGGTTTTAGCCAGTTTTGTAATGTTAATTATGCCAATCAAATGGAGCACTTTAAAACCAGCCTTGCCTAATTTAAAGAAATTTCTTTAAAACATACTTGCCATTTTCCAGTGTGATTTTGCACACTATGCATCTTTAAATTCTGGGGTGCAGATTTGGTACCCATACCATTAATCATTTCCAAACTAATGAGCTCACTTCATTTCATGGAGTATAAAGATTTTAAGCAATCAATGTTTTAAGAGTTTACTTTAGCAGTTTTCAGGGCTAAGCCCCAAAAACACCTCAAGGTAAGGTAGCAATAAATGTGCATTGCACAGGTTTAAGTGCAAAAATTTCTACAACCTTGAATGCAACAGTTAATGTTGAACTGTATTCAATCTGAGCTAGAATCTTAAGATCTTTTGCATCTCATTTGAGTCTTGCTATTAAATTATTTTTACAAATTTAATCACCTTTTTACAAATTTAAGGTCGTGCGATTTCAAAATTCATCCTTAGTATCAAGCAAACTCTACATTGTAATTAACCATTAGAAGTAAAATTTACTATCTTCGGCCTTGTTCTGGGTGCTATGCTATGCTACTATTCTAGCACTCATAATATTTCGAAGCACTTTCAAGGCATCCAGATCCAACATTTGAGGGCAACTAGCACTAAACCCATGAAAAGGAACTTTAAATTTTTGTCAGCTTTGCAGCCCATCCCTTATAAAGGGATGGGCTGCTATTTTAAGGCGTCCAAGTCAACTTTACTTTAGAACAATACATTTCAGATTTACTGAATTTTGGCTATAAAACATGGTTAGCAAGAACAAAGTAAACTAACTGACTTGATCCATTTCAGATTTTCAAATACTGTAGTCATTGATAGTATTGGAAAGGCTAGACAGTACTATAGTTAGGGGAAATTCCTAAATTTCCTAATGCAAAAGGCTTCCCCCCCCCCCAAAAAAAAAACTGCCAAATTTGGTACAGTATTTTGAAAAATCTAAATTCTAGAAGTTGGCATACCAATTTTTATCTTCCTGATTAAAAATGCAGTGTTAAGTCTTCAGTTTTAATTACAGTATATAACAATGTAAATAATTTGAAGCGATTTATTTAATCTGTTTTGTTAATTTTCCCAAAGGAAAAAAATGAGTTGGCAATGTGCCATTATTGCAAGAATCTCAATTCAAAAACCATTTAATACTATAGTTTATCAATTTCTCAGAGCTAAAAATCTAGTCTAATTTAATTTTATCGCCTTTTTAAAGTGTCAAGGATGTCGCCAGTATCTACGCTCCCCAGCGGCTCAGGATTTTAAACTTTGGCTACATTAGACAAAAGTAGTCTAGGAAAACCAGGCTGCAATAAATCTACAATAAAACACTTGCAGGTCTCCCAACATTGACAAGAAGCCCATGGATTCAGTCAATTCTAAATGGCAGAAAAATAATGTCAGCCGACGTGTGGTAGGGTCAAGGACAATGCCGTGTCATACGACCACTTACCCATTTTTATCAAGCACCATGTTACAGGTATTTGCATGTAGTATCCTGTGTATACAATATGCTTAATTGTTTATGAATTTTTAGTAAATTTACAAACTAAAACTGCTTTGCTTTTATAAATTATAGTCTGGACATTGGTAAAGGAAAAGACTGCTCATTCCTGTTAAAAGGTATAGCACATTCCCTTCCCACAGCGTGTGTTAAGGGGACAGAACTACAAAATATGCAATAAATGAAAATGGTGTCAAAATTTTTCCAAAATGTTAAAAAAATATGAAACTCTTATCAACTGAAATCGTGTCCAACCTCTTATCACAATAGCACAAAGAATTTTAATTTATAAAAAGTGATTTTCTAATTTTTCACTATCGGGCAATTTGCATGAAACATACACCTGACTGCACGTAAGCCTATCTGTAAGGGTGCCAATTTTGGAGGCAATTGGTTGATGTCAACTTCAGCCACATGTGGCAGAACCTTTGGACTTCATTTCTTTTCAAGTAACAAAAGTGACTACTCATTCAATTTACATGCAACTTGCACCTTTAGATTTTACATCTCAACAATTTGTCCAAACTTTATTCCTAAGTTCATTTATTGATTTTATATTTATAAATATTATATATTTGCATAAATTTTTTGGGGGAACTGACTTTGTATTAGTAAACCTAAACATTTTGGATAATCCAGTTGGACAAATCCTATTATATGCTAATGTGATAGATTAGTGTCAAATGATTTCATTTGAAACTAATGGTTGTAGAGTAATTTTATAAATGAAAATTTGCTTAAAGATGCCTTTATAGATCTTATTTTTTTTAAAGATTAAGATCTTCTTAAATCTTTATTTGAACCTATCAAATTAGACATCTACCAGGAATGTGACAGACTTCTAAATCACTATCAGTATTACAGGAACTTTACTTTAGAACAATGCTTTTTAAATCTATAAATTCATAATTGTGTTGCAACCTATATTCACCAAATATAGGTTGCACTATTCAGTACTATAGAAAAATAATTTAGAAATATACAATAGAATAATACTCTGCAAACTGAAATATTGCCAGAACAAAGTTGGAGGTACAGTATAAATAACACTGGTTGAAGTCAACTTCACCCAATTTCCTCCAAAATTTACATCCTTACAGATAGGCCTACATTCTGCAAGGTGTACAAGTCATGCAAATCGACTGATAAAATAAAAACGAAATTTTTTTTTATTTTTTTTTTTTTTGGGGGGGGGGGGCATAAAACTAAATATTAATACTTTATTATATGCTATTGTGATAGCTTAGAGTCAGACCTGATTTCAATTGACACTTGTTAGTTTTTGACCACTTTGGAAAATGACTTTCTTCCTATTTATGCTACAATGCTGAGACTTGGACCAGTTGAAACCAATTTTATATACTAGTCAAAAAAGTTTGAAATCAAACCAGTTTTCATTTATTGCATATTTTGCCAATATACCCCCTTAATGTGCAGTTGTCATACAATGATACCCAGAGTATGTTAGTTTATTAACGAGAAAAGACTACCTCCAAAGGATACCTGATCAGGGCGATTCATGCCTGGCCACATCCAACAGCCTGGTTCAACAGACCAACTTGCAGGCCTTGTACCAGGACTTGGGCTGTTGGGACCTTGACCCCCAGAATCAACACAGGTAACCACAAGGTAGGCAAGGGGAATGTTCACTGACCAGTCCAGTGCATCAAGAGATGGCATTGGCTCCCTCGCCATTAAAATATGGGATAAAGTACCAGAAATTTAAAAAATTCCCCTTTTGATTGGGGAAGTAATAAAAATATTTTATTTTGACTATTGCCAATCTTGCCCTATGTACTTATTTATGGGAATGGCTCTTTGGTTCCACCTTTCAACTTTGAATTGACAGGCTTTATGCAGCACACATCACAATAGCATGATGCATCAAGTGAACAAATCCACAAAGGCCGTGACGAGGATTCTAACCTAAATCCGAGAGCATCTGACTGGGATGGATGGGGCAGCATCTGGGATCCTGACAGGTTCAAATCCTCGTCACAGCCTTGTGGATTTGTTCAGGCTTTATGCAAATTGGGCTGCCAAAGTATCTACATTTAAAGCAGAGTATGGAGCCTCACCACTTAACCCTGCAAATTGTTTAACCATCTTTATTAGATGCTCATCTACACTAACCCCACTTAATGTTTTCCATTCCCAAAAATATTGCAAATACTGAATTAGCCTCATTAAGGCCAGTTGTGGATTTTGCTTGAGCATTTATACCTAACTATGGGAAACACTTGCAGACAATGCAGTACAGGCTTTATAGTTTAGGGATACCATCATACCCTTTAACATTTTATGGCAAAATGCACGAGACACTTGCAACATGACAAAGTGTAGTGACTATCCATCAAAACCTAGACCCACCAATTTTGCTCATTTAACACTGCAAAACATTTTAACTACAGTTTTTGGGATGTAAATGTGGTTAAATCCATTTTGCATTTTATACTCTGGATCCTCGATGAACAATATCCTAATTACTGTATGTTCTAAACAGTATGTACTGTTTAAATTGTTCAGCAGTACAAATGCTCTGTTGTGTAACCAAGGAGTCCTGCTAGGCCAAGCCTGTGCAAAGGGCATACCTTGGTGCGCTTCCGTGGCTTAGCATCCCCGCGGCTGCTCGCAGCCTGACGTACGAATCAGCCGGGTTGATCAGGTATCCTTTGGAGGTGTTTATCCAATTCTCTTGAACACTGAGGGGTTGGCCAGTTATGCCCCTTATGTGTAGTGGAAGCGTGTTGAACAGTCTCTGATGTTGATAAGAGTTCAAGATTACCTGTTGTTCCTCTGCTTTTCAACGGGGGTATTCTGCACATCCTGCCATGCCTCCTGGTCTTGTGATATTTCTGTGTGCAGGTTTGGGACCATCCCCTCTTTTCCACATGCAAATTATTATGCATCTCTGGTA